ATTAGTACCCATATGGAGCTGCATTTTAAATGTTATTTATGTGTTATTCATGTGATATGAAGGTGACCACGAGGTGTTACTCTTGTTTACACATCAATGACACATCAATAAAATCTCCATAACATAATAATAATAATTCAACATAAGTTACTCTTTTGTCATTGGTGTTATCACATGAATAATACATCAACAATACATCAGTAACACAGGAATAACACATCAATTTCACATCATTAACACATTAGTAAAACATAAATAACACATCTAATACACTTCAATAATAATCACAAGTGTAGTAGAGATGTTATAACAGTAGCATAACACATTAAAAGATGTAACACATCAATAACACAGAAATAACACATGCATAACACATGAATAACACCGGAATAACACATGAATAACACACCAATAATACACGAATAACATAACAAAATTGTTTCATAAAGATACATGTTTCATAGAGATGTTATACAAGACATTCAAAATATATGTTATTGATGTATTACTAGTGTGTTGCTTGTGTGCTATTGATGTGGTATTGTTGTTTTATTGATGTGTTACTGATGTGTTGCTTGTGTGCTATTGATGTGATATTATTGTGCTATTCATGTTTAGGGTTAAGTTGCATACCGTGATTTTAACGAACGACTAGACGCCATGGTCACCTTCCCTTGCGTGTCGGAGAATGCCTAGGGTTTCACAAACAAAGGAAGTAGCGTTTCACCAAGGAAGACGAAATGGATGTTGGACCTCAAACCTCGTAATAGTGCGGAGAAAATAAAAAGGTTTTTTTAGGAGGGTTTGAGTTTAGGGTTGGGCCGGTTCGCGAATTATAGGAAATTTATTTTTCTGTGCTTTAATAGGCGGGCCCGACTTTTCCACAGGGCTGCATTTGATTGGCTACGCACGTAGCTCTACGTGCGCATTACTGAGGCAATATTTCTTCGTTAATGACAGGCATGTTGACCTCTATATCGACCTCGTGTGATAAGTCGGTTAAAGGCAACAAGACCAAAGAGAATAAATAGACTTTGTTTGAAGAGGTAAATATGCTTCATTTATTCAACACAAAATGTAATGTTTCGTTTGACTATTTAATTTTTCGAATTATTTTTCTAATAACAACGGTATTTCAAGGACATTTCTTTTCATTCTTAATCACAAATCGAAAATAGCAGTTTTTAAAAGAGCTTTTCTTGACGGTAAGTATCGTCAAATGAGCCCCTAAGTGTGACATCGACAATTAAACATGAAATTGCTTTGCATGTCGTAGAATCAGCCTAAATGATGTCTATTCGTAAAACGGACTATTCTAACATGTTGAATGGCAAACTTATATGAGAAGAATTTGTTTATTGTCAAAAGAAGCAAATAAAATTGAATCGAAGGGTTCTCACTGCGATGTGTGCAATTTGAACTCAAATCGTTTTGAACTTGATTGAATTTACTCAAACGACTTGCAATCATAAAATGGACTGCGTGAGCTCGTCCGAAACATAAACTTTGCTTAGGAAGGACATTTGAATATGTTTGCAAATTATTGACACAAATTTTGAGGCATGAGTATATGTATTTCACGATAGATCCACTTAAATCCAACTAAACACAAAAAAAATCCAATGTTCCGTTACATTAAATTTTCTCCCATTCCGTCTCTTTTATGATCTAAATTTAATTACGGGGCAGATTTATTATGGTGATACTTGCAAGCTCCTCAGCCGCACACTTAATTTGATATATTCAAATTTATTGGATTTGATAAATCATATTTAAAGTAAATCTAAGTTTAAGCCAAACGACGCATTAGTGTAGTTTTATCCTTACCGTTTTTGCTTAAGATTAAAATGTATATATGCAAGCATGAGCATGTTTTTGTATATAGATATATAAGCAAAAAAAAAAAAAAAAAAAAAAATAAAAGTGTACAAATTGTCATAAAACTCAAATTCAGTGAGAACCTAGAATTCAATTAATATAATTTTTAAATCATATCTTAAAGTCAACGTAAAAGAGGGTGAAATATACGTAAAAGAGGGTGAAATATTTAGATAGTGTATTATCTACTATCTCATCCACCTTCTAAAAATTTGACTTAGAACCTCACAATAAACTCTCTCTCATCCACTTTTTTTTTCTTTTTGAGGTAACCCTGCGGAATTCAGATTTCTGATGCTCAGGGAGCATTAGTAATTTTTGTATGATATACATTGATGTTGGTCTTAGTGTTAAAAGCAGATGTTGGCATAATATTGATGATAAGTGTAGGGGCCGCTAGCAATGATGGGAGTAAGCATTATTGGCAATAACAAGAATCAATCATGTTAGTGATGATGAGCATCAAAATTGTTGTTGATTGGTGAGCATTAGTGTTCTTGGTGATGGTGGAGGTCTATATGTTGGCTTAATAGCACATTAATCTTGGTGGGTGATAGGTAGATATATGGATTATCTTTTTTAGAATATGTCACATGTTAGTGATGAAGAGCATCAAAATTGTTGTTGATTGGTGAGCATTAGACGCTGGTATGTTGGCTTAATAGCGCATTAATCTTGGTGGGTGATAGGTAGATATATGGATTACCTTTTTTAGAATATTTCACATGTTTCATCTTAACCTCCTCCAATCTGTAAGAAAATTGTTTATTCATAGATTTCCAAGCAAAGACATTCTTGTCATACTAAAAATAAAAACTTTTAATTGAATAGTTCATGTTAATCTTCCTTATTTTTTACCAATTTTAATATTTTCAGGATATTAAAATTAAGTGATCAGAATCAAACTTATTTTATAGAGATTGTCATTTCACCTATAAGAATCCACGATTTGGAGAAAATTTGGTGCCTCAAATAATTTCTTAAGGTTTCTAACTAAATTTAAAGTGTTTGACTTAAGTCTACTTAGACTCGAATCAAGAGGCTTAAGACATATTTGAATTTATCTCATCTAATTTTTCATTTTGTGACCTCTTAATAAGTGCACAATTTAAAAATATTTGAAAGAATTTTGAGAAAAGCCTCTATCTTTCCTCATAATGCTATAAGAATTCTCTTTTCTTAAGAGGCTTGAGAGAACTTTATTTTAATCTTGACTAAATTTTGTCATTGTATAATAATTTGCATTTATACCCCTTTTCAGAAAATTTTAGACATGAGATGAATTCATTTTGATTTTAGATCACTTTTAGTTTTGAATATCTTAATGCTTAAATTACGATGTTCTTGAAGTTGAAATAATTTTTTGAGTCAAACATACAAAAAAAAAATGAAATCCTTTTGTTTATTTGAAGAATCTTCAACTATCTTCATCAATTTCTTATGCCATAATATTATTTGTTAGATGGAAAAAAAAATTCAAGAAAATAAATTTTATTAAATTTTCCCTTTTACTGAAACCAAACAGACACAGTTCCTTCGATAATAACTTCCCCACAATAACTTTCCATGTAGATGTATTGTTGCACAGCTACTTCTTCAACGACTGCAGTTTCCCAAAATGGACCATAAATGCACAATTGCCATCAGAACCATTTAGGATTTTTATTTCAAGAATAGCAGTAGCACAACTGATGCACAATTGAACAAACCAAACAGATACAGAGTTTCACTAACAACTTCCCCACAACAGATTGCTCTATAGTTGTGTTGTTGCACAACTTCCTCTATAGTTGTGTTGTTGCTTCCTCTATAGTTATCTTCAAATTGTTGCAGTTGCCCAAAACACATTATTGATGACAGTTGTGCCTTAGAGGATGTTTTGTTTTTTGTACTAGAGTGTGACTATATGCATGGGTCATCAAGGTGTGGCATATAATGAATTCTTTATTGATGTCAAAAGAATTTTCTATAGTTGTGTTGTTGCAACATCTTCCTCTATAGTTATCTTCCAATGGTTGCAGTTGCCCAAAACACATTACCGATGGCAGTTGTGAGAGGATGTTTTTCTTTTATTTTTTTTATTTTGTACTAGAGTGTGATTGTATGCATGGGTCCTCAAGGTGTGGCATATACTGAATTCTTTATTGATGTCAAAAGAATAGCAAGGACCATAGCTAGGTTAATTTAGTTCGGGCCCGTATTGCATATGTCAAATATCTCAAACTTGGAAATTTCTAGTCTAAGGAAAATTTTTGATAAAGTTGCTTAGTTAGGTTAGTAACTTCAATACTTTAAACAATAGAGGGTGAGTTGTAAAGACTTCTGATAAAGTTGCTTAGTTGTGTTAGTAACTTCAATATATTAAGCACAAGAGAATGAGTTGTAAAGATATCTCATAGAGTTGCTTACTAGAGAATGAGTTGAATTCCTTATAGATGTCAAAAAATAGCAAAGACTATGCTAGGTTAATTCAGGTTGGGCCCGTATTGCATATGTCAAATATCCAAAACGTGGAAATTTCTAATCTTAGCAAAAATTTTGATAAAGTTGCTTAGTTAGGTTAGTAACTTCAATATTTTAAATAGTAGAAAGTTGCTTAGTTGTGTTAGTAACTTCAATATATTAAGCACTAGAGAATGAGTTGTAAAGATATCTGATTGAGTTGCTTACTTGAGTTTGCAACTTCAATATATTGGGCTCTAGATACCGAGTTCATTGTTAGACCGATGATTTGTCAAACTGAATTAAGGCTTACATGATAACTCAATTAACCCAACCTGAATAAATATGTGTGTATGGGGGAGAGTCTCGTGTCTTTCATTTGTGGAAAATTCAAACTAGTTCATACACAATCAAGTGACTGTATAGCAAAAAAATTGTATACTTTTTTTTGGAAAGAGTAAATTTCTAAAAATAAATTGATTCATAATGGAACAAAATAAGTTCTTATGATACAAATTTTCATACATTCCATTCAATTAAAAGCTAAAGATCACAATGTATATTATCAAGCCAATTGATATGTCCCATGAGGCAAACTCAACAGATAGAAGAATAGAACAAAACAACATTCCCAGATTTAGCAATTAAGTTGTTATGACACAAATTTTTCATATGCTGTATCCCAATTAAAAAAATAAAGATCCACAATGTATACTATCAAGCAAATTGATATGTACAAAAGAAACCTAGTTAACCACAATAAATACTAATAAACCAATTGTTATGTACAATGGCTGCAAGTAGCAAAAGCAAAATAAACAATCCCATGTCCAGAATTTCTATTCCACAAGTTTGCCTTCCCAAAAGAATCAATCAATGTAGGGTGGAATAATGAAGCTGGTAGTTAGCTAAAGTATAGTGTCAAACAATGGCTGCCAGAAGAATTCTTTACCTCCAAATTCTAAATCACCTTAACCTTGAAAAAAATGGCCCAGTTGAATTATCATAACACTAATATCATCCATTGATCCTCTAGAAATTGAAAGCTCCACAAGTTTCTTACAAGCAGAAAGAAGTGATGGCTTCTGAGAGTCAAGGCACAGAGGACGAGCAATGTCTATTGCTTCCTGATTATCAACCTGAAAGAGTTTAAAGAGCATGGAAATTAGCATTATTCTAGAATTATAAGTAAAAGTTCAGAGCTTAATTGAGAAGAAGTCTTCTCCCACCTTATCCCAAAGGCCATCAGAAGCAAGAATTAGGAATTCAGAATTAGATTCAATTCGAATAATTCTAGTCTCCGGATTCGGAATCACCCATTGCTTCAGATGGGAATCACCAATTCCTCTGGAGACAGCAAGGGATCCCTGCAATCTCCAGACACCTCTGTAGCAATCTACATAGCCACCCTGCATAAAGAAATAAATTTGTAAGCTTGCTTCTTATTGATCACTAAGGATTTCGACATAATGAATGGCCATAAACCATCCTAAATCTCTAAAAATAAACATGAAAATCAACTGAAAGCATTTAAAAACTCGATTTTTTTCTCTAAAAATTTGCAAGAAAACTTTTAGTGCTGGAGATAGGAGATGAATCAGAGAACTTAGTTGAAGCCTTGATAGTTACCAAAAAATTACGTGAAGTAAGAATATGGAATTGCTTCCATAGAGTAGGAGAATTAAAAGTAAAACAAAAAAAAAAACGCACAAACGTCAGCTGAAAGTGTTAAAAACTCAATATTTTCTGACCATTTGTAAGAAAACTTCATTCAATGCGAGACGATTTAGAAATCTTCATAAGCATTCAAATAATAACATGAAGAGAGAATAAGAAATTAATTCCATGAAATATTATCCATCATCAAATAATAACATGAATCGAGAATAAGAAATTACTTCCATGAAATATTATCCATCATCAAAAAGTTTGAAATAACAATGTAGACTTACAAGGCTCTCAATTCTGTCCTTCTCGTCATCTCTAGATGGCCGGTGGTCAGACGTCAGGGCTTCAGCCGTCCCAGAGATACTCAGAACTGCACGACAATCACCAGCATTTGACACAATTAGCTCGCCCTTCTTCACAAAAGCTGTAACGCAGCAAGCTCCTCCTGCCACACCCTCCTTCAGGAACTCAGCATCGGTTTTCAGATACCCATTCTTTACAGCTTCTTCTACCTCCATGTCAGCTTCTCCTCCCCTCATCGTCACCTCTTCCAGTATCCGCTCACCAATCCTTCTCGAAACATATTCGGCTGCCTTTGATCCCCCGTGGCCGTCAAAAATACCGAAGAATGCCTGCAGCACACAAACCCCCATCAATCGAAAAACAGGAAGGAATAAACCAGCTATGAATTTGAAAATTAGACTCCTACCATTTGGGGATCTCCGCGTAGGTCAAGGGCAGCGCTATGCCGATCCTCCATGTCAACCCTCTTCCTTCCCCTCTTACAATAAACCGAGTACCGATCGCTCTCCTCCTCCATCTCCTGTTTCCCATCCGAACCAGGCGGTTGATCAAACCCCAAAACCCCCATAATCGGAATATCAAGCCGCGCAGGTCTCTTCCTCTTCGCAAACGTAGCAGATCCGCATGGAGACGTCGAACTAGAAGAAGCGGGAGAAACAACCGATAAATCTAATCCCGGAGAAGAACACGCCGAGTTCTCATTCTTGCATATCCGAAGCCCGCTAGGCACTCTGTGAAACCTACGGAACGGCGAAGACGACGTTGATGCCGATGCCGTCGACGGAGAACCATCGATCGCCGGCGATGATGATACGTGGTGCTGAGTAAGACTGAAACATAAGCTTTCCGGCGAGGTCTTACAGCTGAGGGACACCATTGACGGTGAAAACGCCGGAGAGCTCGAAATCGCAACGGAGCACGACATGGCGAAGGGAAACTTCTCTTTGGTTTTCGTCTACTCGAAGCCTTTGAAAAGTGGCTATTTATAGGGCACGGACTATGTTCCCTTGTTCCTCCGGAACCTTTTCCAACTTGTAAGAAAACTATTCTAGAGATCAGACAACGTCAATATTCGTGAAACTTGCTCCGCGTATGGTTTACGTTTAAATTGTACGCTGGGAGAAGTGGAACAGTTGAAGTCAAAACACAAAATAGTGTGAAGGGCGTGCGATGGAGGAGTGGAATTATATTTTTTAAAAAAAGAAAATTAGGTGAAATATTTATTTTTATCATGTGACAAATACTTTTTATGAAAGGAGCATTTACATACATACACCCAATCTATTTGTATTTATATATCTAACAAAAAAAATTATTTTTTTATTCTCTCTATACCACCTAAATCTTTTATATTACATCAAAAATATCACAATTTTTAACTTTTAAAAATTAAAATATATATTTTCATGCATAGGTAAGATGATGTATGTAAAAATTTTAGGCCATATGCATATATATATATATATATATATATATATATCAACAACAACAACAACAATATTGTCGTTGCCGGTCCCAAGTCCGGATGTGTTTAGTGGAGGGTTGCGTTAGTTATTCGACAGTCAGCGTAAAACTTGTTGAAAAAATCATTATATATATATATATAACTTTTTAAAAATTAAAATAATGATATTATGTATATGAAAATGTAAAAACAATACTTAGGCATTAAGTTTTGTTGATAGATACGTAATTACATAGAAGTCGCGTGGTGTGTATGAAAAAGCCCCATTTTTCCCGCTTTTCAATTATTCAACGCGGGACGTCGGCCCGTCCGTTGTAAGTTGGTAGATCAAATAAAAAGTAAAAACACAAAACAGCATTTTTGGCCGTTCAGATTTTCAAGGAGGACTATTCAGCTGCGAGCAATTGGCTAGTTATGGAGTCCGAGTTTTGTTTGGATGAGCGAGGCTGAAATATGTCTTAACGGCTAGTTGGCAGCGGAGACGCCACGTTGGATGCAGAGAAAATAGCCGTTGGGAGAGAGGATGGGGCAAGGCGTAGCCCGTGTGTACTCTAGAGGGCCGAATTTTCTCAAGGGTAGAGATGAATGGGTTTATGGTGCAAGGAGTGAATGTCACAAATGTTTGACTTTGACTTATTATAGCTTATAACTCCAAATGATAAGCACGTCTCATTATCATCATCCTTAATAATTTGGTCCTTAGTAGACAACTTATCAAAATATATATTTTTTTGGTTAAAATATTTGTGATGGTTTTTCTCATTCGATCGAAGTGATGCATTTTCTCGTAGCTAGAACATGACGATATAATATAATAGGCATAAAATGTGAAAGATGATTTCTACGTGAACCCATGAGGTTTGAGAAGATTGATGATTTGTTGAGTTGTTATCCGTGTGAGATGAGATATTAGTCATAAAGAATATAAGTATCGATCTTGATCCTGGTGAATATGTTGTCATTATTGATGATAATAAAAATTCGTGTTGTCGTTGATAGTGTTAATGAACTTTGATGTTTTTGGCACCAGCATGGTCATCACCAGTGGAGAAAATATTACGTGTGGAATCTGCATATATGAATTGGACCACAATACCACCAAATTTGCACCTATCTTGTCGCACGTAACCTTTTATTTCTCATTGGTGGAACTGATAGGTTGCAGTTAGTGGGATAATGGGTGCAATTTTTTTTGTGATATTTAACTCATTATTAGTAATAATGTTAGCATTATTGAGGATAATGATATCAAGCTTATTAGCTATGAAGAACTTCAATATTGTTGACAATGATAAGATTAAAGAATTTTGCGGTTGTGGATTTTTAGTATTGATGGCGAAGAAGGTCATTGGTGTCGGCAGTCATGATGATTATCGAGATTACTGGTGATGAAAAGTGCATGGTTTATCTGTGCTAATGAGCACTGGTCTTCCAGAATGGCAAATTTTAAATATGTACAAGATCCTATTGATACCAAAAAGTCTTCTAAATGCTCTGATGACATGATGAATTGGGGAAAAAAGTAAAAAGAACAAGAAGTTTTACTTATTAAAAAAACAAAAGAAGTTATTGTAACCCATGCCTACATATAGGCTATAGAAAACAAATAGAATGAAAGCTAGACAACATTGGACCTGGCAAAACAAACTAACCGATAACCACACCTTTCAACCATAACACAACAACATGAATAAATAAAGGAAACACTAAACATGGACTTAGCAATTGGTGACGACAAATATAGACCTTGTTGCCAATAACAAACATCAACATTATTTCTTAAGAAAGGCATTGTCATTGTTGTTAAGTGGTAATGGTGCTATTTTTGTCACTTTTTAAAAGTTCAAATTGTGGTATTTTTATGCCATGTCAAAGATTTGGGTGGAGAATTGATGTAACAAGTAAGGTTTTGGTGTTAGATGCATAAATACATCTAAATTAGGTGGAATGTGTTGCGACAAAGAATTATATTGTTATAATGAATTGATCAAACTAGAAACATAGGTAGTAAAAATCATATTACAACAACATCGATGATCAAGTCCAAGCTTCTAAAGTACGAAGGGCCAACCCATTTGCCAAACAATTATCATCAAAGAAGGCAACTTAGGTCTCTGGACAGCAATAGCACCCATAGACCAAACATGAAATAGTGGTGTGTGTGTGTGTGTCTATATATATATATATATATATATATATATATATATATATATATATATATAGGTAGTGTGTGGTATGTATGATATACATAGGAATTGTGTGGTATGTATGTAAATCTTGACTTTTTTTTTGGAAGGGAGATTGATAAATCTTAAATTATGTGTAGGGATGTTAATGATCCTATTTCGAGCTGGCCTAGCTGATCAAAATCGGTTTGAAAAAAAATTCAATAGAATATTTTGACTCGTAGCTAGACTCGTTTATCTCAATCTGAGCCAAAAATTTAAATTAATTTTCGAGCGATTAACAATCTTCAAGCTAAATTCGTTAAAATCATAGCCCAAACATCACTAGCGCTTTTAACGATCAGATTTCGAGCCGAGTTGGGATGGTCAGCTCTAAATCGGATGGAAAAAATTTTGTTCCAAAATTTCGGCTCGTCACTCGATTCATTTATTTAGATCCGAGCTAAAATTCAAATTAATTTTCGAAAGATTAACAATCTTCGTGCTAAGTCCACAGTTTGTAGTTTAGATATAAGAGATTGTGGAACAACTTTAGTCAACCACTTGGTTATTGACTATTTCGCCCATTATCGTTCAATTCTCAGATTTTCTAATGAGAGGAACTGAAAGTCTAAACAGATATATAAACTATAAGATATATTCATTGAAATATTTATTCATTTATCTACTCGGTAAATTTACATACATACCACTCAATTCTTATGTATTTACATATCTAACACATAATATTTTATATTTACCTTTTTAGCACTTTCATGCATAAATATGTAATAGTGCTTTTTTATAATTATTTACTTTGTTGATAAGATAAGCTGTCGTCTTCAAATTCAGGGAAAAAATATTGCATCAATACTAAGAGATACGTGCGGAGTCCAATGAAATCATGTCACGTGGAGATAACAAAAAAAAACGGCCCTGTAACACAGGGGAATATTGTTATTCCGTATTATTCAGGTGTTATTGTATGTTATTCATGTGTTATTGTGTTCTAAGAATATTATATGTGTTATAATAACACAATAACACATCAGTAATACTTGAATAACACACAATAACACCTGAATAACACAGAAGGAATATTCTATTGTATTGCCGGGCAGATTTTATTTTATTTTTTATGGCACCGCCAGGTAGCTTGATTTCATTGGACTCCGCACGTCACTCTACTTGCGGAGTCCTGATACAATATTTTCTCCAAATTCGGACAATATTTTAAATTACAAAATATATTTTTTTAGCAAAGTTTAACTCAAATTATATTTGCCAAAATTAGAACATAATAAAACATAGATTGCTCCAATTGAGTCAAAATTGAATCAATCGTTGTAAAATAATGTTCAAATTTGACTCTTCGTATCAATAGGAAGACTTTTCTTACCTAACCACAATTTAGGTAAGCCAACCCAAATAGCATTAATGAATATATATATATATATATATATA